GTCACACTGAGCTGCTATATAAACTTTAGATCATTTGAGGAATGGGAAATGTTTCCCCATTTAGTCCAACAATTGCAGAGATTTTAAACCTCAATTGTTCCAATGGCTTGGGGAATTCTCTGAATTAGGCAGCCAACTCCAGGGAGTGCATAGTTCTCCTGGGTCTAATCAATATTTGAGTATATGCTTGGTAAACAGCTATATCTGAGCTTTCATACTATCTAGGATGGGTATTTGCTTAATTTTTCTCTGGAAACAATAAATCAAACTCACTGATTAATGATTTGGGGGCAAAAATTTATCTCACTCTGTCAAGCCCAATTATGCCTGAGATCTTACTAAGCAGCACCCATTTTCTTCATGTTGCATGGCAATTCTGCTTGATTTCAACCAGAAACAGGAATGTTCATTAAATAATAACTGGAAAAGATGCTGACAGTGGTGGAGCAATTCTATGCATGTCTAATCAAAAGTAAACACTTCCAGTATTTTTAAAATAAATATGTACAGGAATATAGCCGTAGCAAATCTACCTCTTATCCTAAAGCAGGGGTGTCAAACTGTCGGCCCATGGGCCGGTTGCATCACATGGAGGCCGCACCGCCCCAGCTCCGGCAATGCAAAAAAAAAGTTGTGATACGTCGCAACACGTCACGTGACGCAGTGAGTTTGACACCTGTATCCTAAAGTTAACAACTAAAATCAATCTGAAAGAAATAAATAGATGGGAGGAAAACAGTCAGGGATTTTTGGGTTGAGCAAATAATCTATTTTTAAGAATTTCCTCTATTATGTAGATCTATATGGAAGTTTAAAACTGACCCACCAAATATAGAAAAAACATACATTCATTTTTTTAGAAATGGAAATTTTGGTTATTTAGCATACTCAGCCTATTCATATTACTGTCTTCTATACATTACCGGTCAAAATTGTATGTGTAGTTTACACACGCTTATACATATACACAATCACCAAAGTCTGCATATGTATCGATCAAATATTTATAAGACACATATTCAGGTATGTCTCTGTTCTTGATATATACAGAGTTTATGTAAACACACACACACATATTTATATATATTAGTGTATGTGTGTATTTATACATTTATATTTGCAGCATAGGGAAGAAAGACATTCTCTTTAATAAGCGTGATTGTCACATTTGCTTAATGTAGAATGTTAGTTGACACTTTAAGCATGACAAATATATGCTATACACAGTATTTATTAAAACCTTTCTTTTCTCTGGGTATGACGTGTGTACATGTATATATGCATACATGTATACACACATACTATATATATATATATATATATATATATATATATATATATATATATACATACACACTTGAATGACTAAATGCAAATAAGTTAATATCATTCCTACAAGACAGTAGTTTCTATTCACAGGTCCACATTTACACCACAACCCAAGTTTTAGCCACACTGTACAGAATGCTGACTGTATAGAGCATTTGATCCTTTAAAAAGGATGTGTGGTTATGCTACTGCACACTACATTATGACACAGTACTTTTAATTACTCTATTATTCTTTTCCAGAAAGGAAAAAAAGGATACCATCTGGTAAAAAATTACATCCATTTTGGTATACAATTCTTCAGCAATCATATAATACACATGCTTATTCTCAGACTAAAGCCATCTTTAAATTGATACATTTTAATGAAGCTGTTTTCCACACTAATTTGTGATTTATAATCCAGCTGTTATCAAATTCAGGCCGTCTCTGACATTCCTCATATTTTCAGTTTTATTTGTAGCACTTCCACACATCCCAAGACACAAATGCAACATCAATTCGTCCAGTGTGGAAAGGCAAAGTGCCATTAAGGCTCCTCAGAACACTCCGCACATTTTAAACTAGGTTCTTGTTTATAGGTCATACCTATTTTATTGGTTCCCTGTGATCAAGGCTGAATGATTAGTGATAAATATCTTCTTAATTATCCCTTGAATGGCCTTTCTTAAGGACTTTATGTCAACTTCTATTTCCTCTGATAAGGAAAGCCTTCACCACAATTTGCTTGGTGGAGTTTATTGGTTAAGTTTATTCTGAATAATGAAATAACATTTCCTTATTAAAAAATAAATTTCCAAGCAAAGCAATCATTAAGGCTTCTCATTCTCCACCAGAAGAGAGAAACTGATGGGACATGCAAAGTAGGAGCTCTTAATGAATACTGATTGGCAAAGGGCTTGCTGAGCATCTCTACTTGTGACTAAATATTATGGAGTACAGAAAGATCTGGAATATAAAAAAGAACAGAGCTGAAAATTTACTACCAACAGAGGTGTCGTGAGTAGCATTCCTTTTAATTCCAATTTTGCCCCACTGGTCATCAAAATTAGGGAATTCTGTCAGAATTGCAATTTTTCAGAAATTATGAAAGTGCATAGTCCATGGATAGATGTGCTTTTTGGTAATCTCTGACACTTCAAATTTTGTTTTCTGTATAGCTTTTTATTTCATTGGAAACAGACTAGAGCAGTTTGTCCCAAACTGTCACCCTTAATGTTTTTCAGGACTGCAAACTACAGAATTCCCAGTTAGATTCTAATGGGAATTGCAGTTCTAGCATAACCGGGGGCATCAAACTTGAGAAATTTGAAAAAGAATGACACTGTATAAACAACATTGATTTTAAAATCAGTATGTAAAAATGAAGATTTTTCAATATTTTTCTCTTTTTTTGTCTTTATGTATTACTTTTCAGTCATCACTTAAATAATCTTCAAAATCTATTTCATATTAATCATCCTGACAGTTAAAAAAATCCTGTTGAAACTTGTATAGGAACTAATATATTTGTGTGTGTGTGTGTGTGTGTGTGTGTGTGTGTGTGTGTCTTAGACATACACTGTTATATGTATAACTTAGCAACTTCTAAAATGACATAATAGAATCCAACTTCAGCACTATTCACATTTCTAATTTTAGTTCAGATATGAAACAAGATCAGCATCTTTCTAGATTGCAAAAAGGATGCTTTAAAAGAAGAAATGTAAGTCAAATACATTTAAAATGATTCTGGAAACAATTAGAAAAATAAGTGTCAAATCTTTAAAATAAAATTACAATTACAAAACCTTTAGGAGCTCTATATTCATGACCTCCTTTAGTGATTTAAAATATCCCCTCCACATTTTTGCAGCAGTTTTGAATTTATCTCATCATGATATCTTATAATAAAAATAACTTGACATGTATATCCTAAACCGTCCACATCTATATGTAATATGTTTCTGTTAACCATATAGTATAATACTTGCCACTCCTAAACGAAAGGATGGCCATTCTAAACATTCAATATTCAATTATCTGTTCAACCAGTAACTGATTCTCATCCTTATTTTTCTGACTTTTCTCCAGAGTTTCTCAAATAAATATTCAACATTGTTGCATGGCCCTATTGTACCTGTAACAATACTGTACATATGTTTCACAGCAGCGATTTTGTTACAACTAAATATAGGAATTTATTATGCCTGCTTGAGTGTGCAATGAGATATGGGACTTTTTTCAGAATGAATAGAATGAATTAACTGATAAAATGTATGCTGAGTTTGGGGAAAGGATTGTTAGGAAACTGCCAGGTAGGCTGAGGGATCAAGCAAGGGCCTAGCTTAGAGTCCTTGCACAGCCACAAGAGGCATAAGCTTGACCTCCACCCAAGTTTCATGAAGCTCTGATCATTCCCAGGGAAGGTAGTCTGGGGAAAATCTTATAATATAGGTAGAAATCAATAAAGTTGTTTACTTCAGCCATTTACAAATGGTTCTGATTGCTTGTGCCTAACAAGGATAAACAGAAGATGAATAGAAGGATAAGGATCAGCAAGTGCTGATAAAAACAACATGTTGCAATCTCTATATTATCCATGTCTAGCTTTTCCCATATCCTGGGCATCCTAAGCTAAAATCACCTAGATGTGTGGGGTTTCAATTCCATTCCGACCCAGCCAGAGGCATCAGATTTGAGGCATAATATATTTGACATAATGCCACTGTATTATAGCCCTGTTTTCAAAAGAGCCCTAGAAACTATTCTGCACTTTAATATACCCAACCATGCACTTGCATTATCAAAAACTAACTAGGGAATTCTTGTAGTAGTGACATCAGGAGAAACTATAGCAAGGTGAACCTGGAAAATTCTAATTGTGCATAAGGTGATACAATTCTGGGAAATGTGACCAAGACCTTTGCTTTTCAGTCCAGTTGACACAGACGTCCCTTTCATTATATAAAAAAAACTTTGCAATGGGAATGCCTTTATTTCCCTGTATGTCTCCCAAAGGGAAAGCACCAGGTTCCTACCCTTTCATTAAATAATTACATTATTCTGTAAAATGTTTCATTGGATGCCATCTGATCTGATCATTTTTCAAAAGAGAAGATTATATAAGATGCCAACTGATTTTTTTTTCACTTCAGGTTGACCTCAACTGGAAATAAAATAATTATTTTCGATAGAGAATGCCAGTCTACTGCACTTGACACTTCCATTCTCCACACAGATGCCAAAGCAAATAAAGTAGAGGCAATTCCATAGATGTTCCAGATATCCATACAGCAGAAGTCAGAAGGTTTGAGTCTTTTTTTCCCTTTTTTATCCAGATCAAAGGCAAAAGGACAACAAGGCATTTAAGCTGTGATGAGCAAAACTGAGTATCTGCTGATAAAACAGATCAGGTTGTTAAGGCCTTTGTCTATGCAGAGTTATAATAATGCAGAAGCCTGATTGAATAGAAATTGGGGGGAAATAGAGCAGAAGGGGAGATATATGTCAGTAAAGTCACAACGTCAATATTGTGTTTACAGAGGAAGAGATGCACACTGCTTGCCCTTTGAAAGCTTCTCCGTATCTTTGTATTTAATACTGCCAGAGTTAATAACACATTGTAATGGAGTTTAGTTGCAACGGAAACATTCATTCACACACTTCATATAAGGAAGTGCTAGGAATTTCTACCCTAGAATATCCAGGTAGACTGGAGAGGCCTTGGCCAAGTTCTGAAGGAGGGAGTAGATTTCTTTGATATTGAGTCTCATATGAGGCTCCCGCTGCCAGCACCCAAGCATCAGGTCATATACTTCCTTTGGGCAGGTACGAGGTCGCTGTAGGACACGGCCCTGAGTTATACACTCAATTACCTGAAGAAAGGACAAAAAGAGAGCCCATTGATTTGTTTGTTTTGTTGGCGATACATCATTGGCCAATACATGCAAAGATAATCTCGCAACTTGTTTGCCTAACACTTTTGTACTCTTATTCCTATTTATTTAGTGTAAAAAAATACCAATTTTTTTATTTGCACCAGAAATACCAAATAATGACAGCAAGGCAAGGCAAGGCAAGGCAAGGCAATACATAAAAAATAAAGTCATTACATTTCATTGATACATTGGGGGAAATGAGCTATACTGCTACACAAGGAAGATCTTTCAATATTTCTTTCTTTCTTTTCTTATAATAGTAATTTATTGAACTTCTATGCAGCCCAACTCCCAGTTTTGAATATTTTGATTTTGGAGTTAAATTTAAATTTAGTAGCTAGAACAATTGAATTGTACAATGAGCCAGAACACACAATTATAATTGATTGGTTGGAAACTGCTGGCTCCCACATGAGGCAATCTGAGCTGTGATTGGTTGCTTGGGTGTAGAGGGAGAGTTTCCCTTTTTTCCGCCTTTTTCTTCTCTGTGCTATGTGTCTTCTGTGATTTACCTCATGACGCGCCTGTTTGCGTGACTATCTTATTTGCAGTAAATATAGATGTTAAATATATTTATTTATATAAAACCACAAGTCGTGTCAGTGTCTCTGACTTTATTTGGACACCTGCTGTGCAATTCCCTGATAGGATGCTGGCAGCACTGTTGCAGCACAACCTAGTCTTGGCTGAACAATTTGGAGGTTGCGGTCAATTCCTTCCTCATCCCTGCAATTTCTGCCTTAAAATTAATGCAGGAAATTTCCAAATTTTCTTGTGGTGAAGCCCCTGAAGATATCCAGTGAAAACTAGATCAGTTTCATGTCCTGTAAAGCAGGGGTCCCTAAACTTTCTGAGTTGGCAGCCTGGTGGGAAACGGAGGGGCAGGCACCTTTACATGTGCATGCGCACACATGCAAATGTGGCTGCACGTGCATATGTGCAAATAGGGCCGCAAGCATGCATGCTCTGCGAACAGAGCTGCGAGCATGCACATGGTGCTTGCGGCGGTGCTAGCACGGCATGTGTGCACGCACAACATGTGCGTGCACTGGCCAGCCACTCATGTGGCCCAGTGGCCGAGAGGCCATGGCCCGGTAGTGGGCCATGGCCCACAGGTTGGGGACCTCTGCTCTAAAGAGCTTGCTATCATTATATTTTCATCCCATTTTGACAAAGATGAAGCAGCTGCCAATTTGATACTTCCTCATTCTAGCCTATGAACAAATGGTTTTTCAAGGTGGTTTCTCCTCAATTTGCAAAATCAAATTAAATATCTTCAAATTTCCTGTCTGAATTAAGTTGTGACAGGGCTTTTGCACTGGCATTGATGGAACCTTAAAAAAGAAGATTCCACTATACTAAGAAGCTTATTAGTACAGAATGGTAATATAAAGCAATATCCACATACCTCATTGTTTGAGAGCTGGTACCATGGCTGTTTTCCATAGGTAAAGATTTCCCAGAGAACAACGCCAAGGCTCCAGACATCACTTTCCGTGGTGAACTTTCTATACATGATGCTTTCAGGTGGCATCCAACGAATAGGTAGCATGGTATGCCCACCAACCTGGTGAAAAAGAGAGAAGCTTACGGGTCTGGAGGAGTAATGAAATATCCAAGGTCACATGATGTTTTATTATTTGGATTTGACATATTACAGTATGTGCAATGATTACAAGTTCGACTAGACTTATCAAGCATTTTCTTCCACCGTATTACTATATTTAGAGAATTCCGCTGCATGTACTACAATTGAGCTCCACGTGGAAAGTACTATGAGGGAAATTTAAAAGAACCAAAAAGTATTTTCTCAGTTACAAGTTACTATTGATTTTTGACCACCATCATCACCCCTTTAAAAAGGGCCAGCTCAATCATTATGGGACAGAAACAGGAGGTTAACACTAGCCACCTCCTATAAAGAAAATTTATACAAGATGTTTTATAGATGGCACCTTCCCCCTACAAGGCTAGCAAAAATAGATTAAAAAACCTCACCAACATGCTGGAAATGTAGAAGGCTTCCAGGGACTTACTATCACATGTGGTGGGAATGTTCAAAGGTGCAAAATTTTTGGAATCGGATAAAAAATTGGCTGGAAGAAATACTATTACAAAAAAATTGATTTAAAACCAGAAACCTTCTTATTAGGGATTATTAATGATAAACTCAGCAAAGCATCTTTCTACTTACTATTGCATATTTTAACCGCAGCAAGATTGGCATATGCCCAAAAATGGAAAGGAAAGGAAACCCCCACTGAGGAAGAAATAATAAATAAAATTTTATCCTGCACCGAAATGGACAGGTTAACTCTAGAGATTAAAAATAAAACTGAAACAGAGTATTATGAAATTTGGAAAAATTTGTACGATTGGTTAGAGATAAGGAGGATCGCTGAGATGATTATCGATTGACTAGTTGATATCGTAAGGACTTCTTATTAGTACCTATATTAGGACACAACTGAAAGATATGTAAATACAACGTTGAC